TGTCCTGATTTTTAGTTGCTTGTTTTTATTTCTGTTGTTGTTCTTGGAATTGTGGTCATTTCTCTCTCTTTCTAGAATATCTTTCAGTACTCTTTGTAGGATTGGTTGGGTGGCCATGAAGTTTTTCAGTTGTTCCTTGTTGTGGAAGTATCTTATTTCTCCATTGATTTTAAAAGATAGTTTTGCAGGTACATCAATCTGGGTTGGAAGTTGTTTTGTTTCAGTACTTGAAATGCTTCACTCCATGCTCTTATTGACATGATAGTTTGTATTGAGAAGTCTGGCATGATTCTGATAGGCTTTCCTTCATACATCACCTGTTTCTTTTCTCTAGCCACTTTGAATATTCTGTTCATATGCTGAATTTGAATATTCTGTTCTTATGCTGGATCTTGATTATTATATGTATGGATGTAGATTTATTTTGGTTATGGCTATTGGAGTTCTCTATATTCCTCACTTACCTGTATGTCAAATTCTAATCCCATATTTGGGAAGTTTTCTGCTATTACATGTGCAAATAATCTTTGTATGTCATTTGTGTTTTCTCCTTCTTTTACATTGTTACCTATGAGCCTTATACTGCTTCTCTTTGCATCATCTTGCCACTGTTGAATTATTTCTTGATTTCTCATTATTTTTAAGAGCTGTTTCCTTTCATGAGCTGCAATCATGTCTTTGAGGTCTAAGAATCTGTCTTCATTTCTATTCATGGTTTTGCCAGCTTTCAGTGGAATTTTTTATTTCCTGAATATTTCCTTGAATCTGTTTCATGTATTCTAATTGTTTCTTGTATTGTTCATTCAAGGTTTCCATCACTTTTCTGTGCTCCTCTATTTTTTAATCAATATCTTCTTTAGATATATTCACCACTACTTTCATCATGTTTATCATTTATGTTTTTAGCTTACTATTTCTGATCTTATTTCCTTTACAGTTTCCTAGAGTTGTTTCTTTATTTCTGTTGCTATCATTTGAGAGGTTTCAAGTGTGTTATTTCTAGATTCACTCATGTCTATGTCTCCTGGCCTTTTATCTTTCATTTTAGCACTTTCCTGTGTTCCTCTGAATCATCCAGATGCCAATTCCTAGTTGCCTCTTGTTCTGGTGAACTGTCTAGTAGAAGGCCTCATTGAGGGTTTCTGTTGGATCCAGGTCACTGGGAGCAGACACTCAGTCCCCCAGGCCTCACTGAGGGTTCCCAGATGATTACAGGTTACTGGGCACAGGTTCTTAGTCCCTGAGGGCCTCAGAGATGGTTCCCAGGTGTGGATGGGCCATTGGGCACAGACTCCCAGTCCTAGCAGGCCTCATTGAGAGTTCCCAGATAACTACAAGACACTGGGCCCAGGCTCCCAGTCCCTATTTCCCTCAGGGATAGTTTCTGGGTGTGGGCAGATTGTTGGGCACAGCTTCCCAGTCCCTGCAAACCTCACAAAGGGTTCCTGATTATGGGTGGATCACTGAGTGCAGCTTCTCAATCCCTGCAAGCCTCACTGAGGGTTACTAAGTGTAGACAGGTCACTGAATGCAGCTTTGCAGTCCTTGTAGGGCTCACTAAGGGCTCCTGGATAGCTGCAGGTCACTGTGCACAGATGACTCTCAGTCCCCAAGGGCATCAGAGATGCTGTCTGAGTGTGTGGCTGTACCCCTGGACACAGCTTCCTGGTATCCAAGAGCCTCACTGAGTGTTCCCAGATCACTTAGGGTCTCTGGGCACAGACTCTCAGTCCCTGTGAGCCTCATAGATGCTGTCTAGGTGTGGATGGGCTACTGAGTGTAGCTTCTTAGCCCCCAAAGAGCCTCACCAAAGGTTCCTGGATCACTGCAGATCCTTGGGCACAGACTTCTGGTCCCCATCGGCCTCACGGATGCTGCCCAGCTGTGGGCAAGCTAGCTCAAGTTCTTCTTGCCTCTAGTAAAGAATTAGATGAGACAAGCTGCCATGACTCACTTGGCTCCAGAGGTTCCTGGGGTGAAGGACCATGACAGGGTGAGAAAATAAAGAAGAGACAAAACCTGGGATCAAATGGAGCCCTTACTCTCTGGATGGGAGGAAAGGAACTTCCTCTTCACTGTAGGGGCATTTATTTATATATTTAGCAACACAATGTCATGTGTTGCTATCGCTTTGCCTAGCAACCCATTGCTTGTATTGTCTAAGGGCTTGTGTTTTTCTGGGCTGAAGCAGCTTCTTCACATGGTGCTGTCTGTTTTGGGGATAGCCATGACCCATCCCTGCACATGTGATCAATTTCCAGCTTCAGTAACTTCCTACAAGAATAATGGTGCCAAAAGTTTATCTGAAATGTGCAGGGGGGAAGGGTATGGGAGAAACCAGCTCCGCAGAGCAAACTTGGATCAAAGGAAAAATGAAAAGTACACAGTGTGTCTGAGAAACTCTGCACAGGCTATTGCAGAAACCTACCATAAAAATTTTCTGTGGTGACTGCTCTTCTTTTATGCTATCCTTCACTCCTGGGAGCTTCCTAGAAGTACTACATATGTGTTCCTCACTTTGTTCTACAGTCTTATAATTGGCAGGCGCTTACACAGCTGAGCTAAATTCCCAGCCCTGGTTTGAAAGTTTCATAGGCCTTTTTTTATAGGCCTTTATGATTCTGACCTATATAACTCAAAACCTTAGGCATTGTAGAGTAGTCATAGCTGGAAATAACATACAGAGCTAAACTTTTAAAACTTTATTAGCTATTAAATTATGTGAGATTTCAGTTTTCTAAAAGAAAAATAAATAAATATGAAATATAACTTCAAATTGCAAGGTAATGAATATGTAATGTAGTGTTTTATTCATCCAATATTAGTAATATTTTAATTTGTGAAATTATTCTTTGTTTTAAATGACTTCATTTTAACACATGGTGATGTAATTTAATAATGTAAAATCAGATTTAGCCCTCAGAACCTAAGACTAATTTTGTCATTAAGGTACAGAAACATGGATCTGCCAGATCCACATTTATTCTTTAGAATATTTCTATTGATTAATTATCAATTTGAATTTTATGAATTTTATTAAACAATGAATACTTAATGGAAAAAACTATAAAAATAAAGTATTGAATTTTTAATATTTATTGTTTATAAAAAAGCATCAACATTTTCAACATCAACAGTTTTATGGTGTATAAAGTCTAAAAACTAACAAAAGAAATACATTCTTATATGAGTGGCAATAAAAATACTAATAGTGCTTTACAAGTAAGTAATCTGCACTTTGATTGTCACACCTAAAGCAGTCTGCACAGAGGACAACAGCATGCTCCATACATACATGTTGCTTATACTGACAGCACATGTGTTTTGCCTTTTGTAGGATACTTTTTATATTTCATTGGTCTTGCTGTTTTGTCCTTATTGTATTATGCAATTTGTAGTTAACAGGAACATAAAATGTCAATAAAATAAAGTATTAAGTTCTTAATGTGTATTGTGCATTTAGAATAAATATCAACACTTTCACACCCACTGTGTGCTTGCTTACAAAATCTAAAAGATAACATCAGAAATAAATTTCTACATGAACTACAGTGAAAATAGAACTCTACCACAGAAATAAGCTTTGCTTCAACTGTCACACCTAAAGCAGCTTCCAACATGGCAACTTCATGCTCCATGTACGCATGTCACTTACACTGAGAGCACATGTATATAGCTTTCCTTTCCCACATAGCAGGCCATTCTTGTCACCTCTCTTGTCTTCCTGTTTTGCCAGGAACTTTCTACTGTATTGTACAATGTGCACAAGTAGGAAAACAGACATCAACAAAATAAAGTGTCAAACATGTAAGAGTGCTTAGAATAGACCTCATTTCCACATCAGCTGTTTACTTGCCTACAAAACCTAAAAGATAACATCAAAAATAAACACCTATGTGAACTACAATGTAAACGCAAACAAAAGTCTACCACGGAAATAAACTTTGCTGGTGCCAGATGTTGTGGTGCATGACTGTAATCCCAGCACTCAGGAGGCTTTCATTTTGTTAAGACTTACCTATCAATATTTCCACCATGGTGAAATGCTGATGTGAACAGTACCAGTGTGTTTTTCTTTGTCACATATGAGACCAATGCTATATCTTTCTGAAATCCAAAGGTTGTGCTACACAAGTCTCTGCTTTGAAATTACATTTCAATTGGAATTTCTGCTTTGCTCCTGGGTACAGCCCCTGGCTGGTTAACATGTGCTCTGTTAACCAAATGTAATGTCAGGCAGACAATGATAAACCAATTGTTGAACATCATATTCCAATTAGTTTAGGAGATAGGAGCAACAAGTCTGTTCACAGCATCATTTGTATTTTTTACTATCTGAATAAGGACCTGGTGGCTGAGTTCCAGGATAAATTTCTAAACTGAAAGTGTAGTGAGTCTTTGCATCTACAAGGGCAAAGTTTTTATGCCATGTTTTGAAGATTTTGGAGGTACATAATGCCTGAACCTACACTGACCACAAAATTCTGCAAGACAGTCATCAATAGCCATGTATTTTTAAATTTTTGTTTAAAAAAAGGAACAGAAAATTAAAAGAAAAATAGAAAAAATGAGAAAAAAGTAGAATACAGAATTAAAAAAATTAACATCATAAAATCACTAGTTGATACATATTGTCATCTTAACAGTAGTTGTCAAAGTTATAAAATCAAAGCATAAAAAGGGCTATTCAAACATTGACAATACAATCTCTTGGGTTCAGTGATCTAATAGAAATTTAGTAATATGGTCACCTATCTTACACACTATACAAACCATTATATCCTTTAGAGCACTTTCATTCCTTTCATTTTTAAAATATCTATTATACATTTTGTATCCCATTATTGTCAGTTGTTATTATTTTTATACTAGAAGGACAATTTCATATTTACTAATGTGATACTTGCCTCCAAGAATGAGTTAGAGAAGACTAATTCTCTGTCAGTTTCATTGAACAGCTTAAGGAGTATGGCATTAAATCTTCTCTAAATTTCTTATAGAATTGAGCAGTGAATCCATCAGGACCTGGGCTTTTCTTTGTTGGTAAGTTTTTAATCACATTTTCAATTTCAGTAGCTGATATTGGGTTATTCAAAATTGCTATGTCTTCTTGATTGAACTTTGGTAGTTCATAGGTTCCTAGAAATCTGTCCATTTCCTCTGTGTTTTCCACCCTATGTGAGTAGAGATTTTCAAAGTAGGTGTTCATGATCTTTTGAAATTCCATGAGATCTATAGTAGTTTCCTTCTTTTTAGTCCTTATTGCATGGATTTGAGTTTTTTTCTTTCTTTTTCTTGATAAGGTTGGCCAGGGGTTTATCAATTTTGCTTATTCTCTCAAAAAACCAGCTCTTTGGTTCATTAATTCTTTGTAATTTTTTAGTTTTAATTGCATTAATTTCTGCTCTAATCTTTACAATTTCCTCTCTTCTATGAGCTTTGGGTTTGACTTGCTCTTCCTTTTCTAGAAGCTTGAGATGTAGCATTAGGTTATTTATTTGTGTTTATTACATTTTCTTGATATAGCTATTGATTGTTTTATATATATATATATATATATATATATATATATATATATATATATATAATTTTTAGGACTGCTTTCATTGCATCCCATAATGTATGTTCCATCTGCATTTTCATTGTATTTTAGGTATTATTTCATTTCTTCTGTAATTTTATCTGTAACCCATTGGTTATTTAGAAGGTTGTTATTTAATTTCCATGTATTTATGCAGGTTTTGCAGGTTTTTTGCCATTGATTTCCAATTTTAGTGCGTTATGATCAGATATTATGCATGGGATAATTTTACTTCCTTTGCATTTAGTTAAGCACGCTTTATGGGTTAATATATGGTCTATTTTGGAGAATGTCCCCTGTGCAGCTTAGAAGAATGTATTCTGATGTGGTTGAGTGGAACACTGCGTAAACATTCACTAAGTCCATTTGCTCACAGTTCTGATTCAGTTCTGTTATTTCTTTGCTGAGTTTTTGTCTAGTGATCTATGTCTTTGTGACAGTGGAGTGTTAAGGTCTCCTATTACAATTGTGTTCTTGTGCATTTGGTTTTTTCATGTCCATTAGTATTTGTCTTATATAGCTGGGTGCTACTGTATTTGGTGCATATATTTATAATTTTTCATTCTTCCTCTTGTAGTTTTCCACTTACAAGTACGTAGTGGCCTTATTTATCTCTTTTAATCATTTTAGATTTGAAGTTCACTTTGTCTGCAAACAGAATAGCTACCCCTGCTTTTTTCTAGGTTCCTGTTGCATGGAATACTGTTTTCCACCCTTTGACTTTTAATCTATGAGTTTCTTTTTGAGTCAGATGTGTTTCTTGTACACAGCGTATTGTGGGATCATGTTTCTTGATTCATTTTGTCAATTTGTTTCTTTTGATAGATGAATTGATCCCATTTATATTTATGGATATCATTGATATGTACTGGCTTGATTTTGCCATGTTGTGTTCCTGCTGTTGGTTTCCTGCTTTTCTCCCTTGTTTAATTTCTTGTCCTGCCAGGTGGTTTCTTTCTGTTGTTCTGTAGATTGTGGTCATTTTTATCTCTATCTAGCATGTCTGTCAGTACTCTTTCTAGGGTTGGTTTGGTGGAGATGAATTCCTTTAGTTGTTCTTTGTCATCGAAGTATCTTGATTCTCCATTAAATTTGAAGGACAGTTTTGCTGGTACGTCAGTCTGGTTGAAAGTTGTTTTCTTTCAGGGCTGGAAATAACTCACTCCAAGCTCATCTTAACTTGACGGTTTATGTTGAAAAGTCTGCCATGATCCTAATAGGCTTTCCTTGATAGGTGAGCTGTGTCTTTTCTCTAACATCTTTTAGTAGTCTGTTTTTATGCTGTATGTCTGGGATCTTAATTATTATATGCCTGAGTATAGATTTATATTGGTTGTGACTGTTTGGCACTCTGTATGCCTCACTTATGTGTATATTAGATTTTTTTCCCCGTGGGAAATTTTCTGCTATTACTTCTGTGAATAGTTATGTCATTTGCATTGATTCCTGCCTCTTCACTGATGCTTATTAGTCTTATTTCTCTTGGCATTGTCTTGAAGCTGCTGGATTGTCATTTCATGCTTCTTTGTTGTTCTTACATGTTCTACCCTTTCATGATCACTACCTGCAATCTTTTCTTCAAGGTCTGAAATTCTATCCTCAGCTTCATTTAAATGGTTTTGCCAGCTTTCAATACAGTTTTTTGTTTCTTGGATATCTGTTTGAATTTTTTTCATGGATTCTGCTTGTTTTCTGCATTGTTCATTCAAAGTTTCAATCAATTCCCCATGCTCGTGGGTTTTTTTTTTTATCTATTTCTTCTCTTTATCTCTTATAGCTATATTGAGCAATTTATTTACTAAAGTTGTTATTTCTGTCTTTACATAAGACATTATTTCTAATTTGACTTCCTCTATAGCCTCATGGATTTGTTTCTTTACTTCATTTGCTATAATTTCAGAGATTCTTGGTGTATGACTTTTAAAGTCATCTATTTCAATGTTGCCTGTACTTGCTCCTGATGGACTAAATGTTTGAGATTGCATTTGTCTTTTCATTTTGTCATTTTTACCTTTTAGGTAAATATTTGGTCTTTCAATCCCAACAGTCTCAACTGTTGATAGTATGAATTTTAGGGTCCTTCTGTGTGGTTGATGTTTGTCCAATTGCTGGGTACCACAATATAGAGGAGAGCCAGTCACCTGAATTCTTCCTACAGGGCCTGTTGGCTAAGTCCTATATTCTTTCTGGGCTAATTAGCCTAGAAGTATTGTTGTGGGTCAACTCTCAGTTCCTGCTATTGCTGTGTCTTCAGGTTGTTACAGGTCACTGGATCTCCCTGTCTATAGTGTTTGTATCAGCTGAGACCCTACTGTGTCACTGGGGGTCTCATAAACTCTTTTAATTTTCTCCAAGTTGATGGAGGCCTTATTGGTGCACTCCTCAACCTGTTTGATGTTCTCTGTGTGAAGGAGGGGATTACCCATTCTTTTGCAAGGTTCATCAAGGTCTTACAGTTGGAGGGGGTTTCACTTCCACTCCTACTTACCCACGGCAGACCTCTATTTTAGGGGTAAACTCACCACACTGACTGAAGCCTGCTGAGCTCTTCTGTTTGGGTGAGGGATTTCTGAGTCTCCCACCCAGCCAGCACAGAAATTCACTGTAGTCCAAGGTTCTGGGAGAGGGGGTTGGATCCAAAGATCAACTGCAGTACTAGGTTCAGGAGGTAAATGGGTTATCCAAGGGACTGGCCCGTGGTGGCAGTCCAAGATGGCTCAGTCCTACTGCAGGTGTCCCAGGTGTTCCTGTGGAGGGGCAGGCCCAGCAGTGGCAGTCCCAGGTGGCTAGGTTGTGCTGGGGTGTCCCAGGTGTTCATGGCCAAGGGGCAGGCCCAGCGGTGGCAATCCTAGGGGACCCAGGCCTAATAGCCATGTATTTAGACAGTATATAACTTGTTTGCCAATTGCCCACAAATCTCTCAAATAGTGAGTAGTTAGGAGCCAGATTGTCAGTTCCTTTCCTTTCTTTGTGGGTGGTTTTGTCATCAAACCTCAGGCAGTTCTGAAGGAAATCAAATCTCCTCAGAGTCATTATTATTTTGCAAACCTCAAGTACACACCTAATTTTTCCATTGGCTTTTCACACTCCTGCAATGACCATGAGAAATCCCTACTAAGTAGAGCAGACACATATATGCTTTCAACTTGGCCAGTGAGTTGTAATAATAAATATCTTTTTGAAGGATGGCACAGTAAATTTGTCTTTATGACTTTCACATAGTAATTAAATATATAAAAGAACAAATAATTTCAAGATGGCCATATGTAGTTTAGGAAACAACTGATTCCAGTTCAATTATACAAATGTTTATTCAGTTTAGAAATATATTTCTTTTTAATGGTTTTAGTATTTTTTTAATCCCCAAGGTTTGCACAGTTAGTAGAAATATTTTTGCCATTTTTAATCCTCAGTCACATGATGTTTACCAATTCTCAGGAAATAAATGATACCAATACAAAATCCTAAGATAGTACAGCACAATTTTACAGAAATAATTTTGATGTGCTCATTGCAAGTTTGATTCAGTTTATCTAACAGATCTACAAATGAAACCTTAATAGAAATACCTTTTTAAGAATGGCTATTGGTACTACAGTACATTTTATTTCTATTTCAGCATTTGCATATTTCACAACATCTTGTAGCATTACAATTACCAATACAGAATGTCAGTGCCAGCATTTGGTCCAACACATTTCACCCCTGCCAAGACCCTCACTTTATTTTCAAACCTAGTTCTAACATTGGATCATTCCATTTGGTTGTGTAACCATTTTGTACCTTTTCAACCAATCAAATATATACTCATATTGTTGCTTCCTTCCTCATCTGAATCAAGGAAGTCTGCCATCCCTATGTCTATTATCAGTTGATTTTTGATCCATTTCATTGTCATAGGAACTTTGGTTCACATAGCCAATGTCAAAGTCATTATCATCTTCATCATCCATGCATGAGTAATTGATGATTCATTTCTGACATCCAAACTTGCAAATCTGGTTTTTCATGAGCCATTGTACTGAATTGGGCTATGTCAGTCAGAAAAACAAATCATAAATGCACAGAAAGTTAGCAATGAGCATTTTGTAAGTAAAAACTCACTGGCTGCTACTTGGAACTCCTGTAAATACCTTGCAGTTCATCTGCCAAATGGAATGCACAGATGGGTTTTTGCTTTCCCCAGGCACAGATACTGTGAGTCACACCCACATTCCATCATGATAAAATACATGATGACACAACAGAAGAGTACTGTGTGTTATTTTCCTCATTTAAGCCTCAGGTACACATACACAAAGCATTTTAGGTGGAACATTATAAGGGTAAAAACCTCAACTTGACACTCTTGCACATGTGCACACATCTTGCTGTTTGTCATAGCAAATGACTAAACACAAAACCCCCACAAATGGCACAGCTACTGAGATGCACAGCTGGTTACTACTATGCTAAAGTACAAATTTACAGAAATAAATTATGAGATGGATTGTTGTAACCCAATCTTATGCCCCTTGGGTAAAGATCCCATGCACTTTCATAGAAAAGATCTTCCAGCCAATATGAGACAGGGTCTCACTGTATAGTGTAGGCTAGTCTTGAACTCACTTGTGTAACTCAGGCTGGCCTCAAACTCACAGTGATCCTCTTGCCTCAGCCTCTCAAAAGCTAGGATTATAGTTATGCAGCCTTAATACCCAGCTCTGACAGTCAACATGTAACCGTGTTTGACTTTACCTGTTCTTAAACTTCACATAAATGGAATACTACAATATATTTTCTGTGTAATGGCTTCTTTCACATCAGTACCTTAATCTTTTCATTAGAATTGCTGAACCATACAGTAGGTACATATTTAACATTATAAAGAACTGTCAAGTCATTTCTCTAGGTAGCAAAAACAATTTATATTTCTATCAGAAATGTCTGGAAATTTCATTAACTCCACATGTTCACCAACATTTGGTGTTACCAGCTTTTTAATTTTAGTCATTCCAGAAGGGATGTGGTGTTACCTCATTGGGCTTGTGTTTGTCTGTGATGGTTAAAGATTTTGGAATAGTTCTAGATTTCAAGTTTCAGCTGGGTCTGACGGCACACATCTACAATCCCAGCTAATCAGGAAGTTGAGGAAGGATGATCACAAGTTTGAGGTCAGCCTAGACAACTTAATGAGACCCTGTCTCAAAATAAAACTAATAAAATAAATAAAAGGACTAAGGAGATGAGAATATAGCTCAATGTGGAGTGTCCTTGGGATGAACACTTGATATTATAAAAATTTACATATAAAAATTTTCAGCTTCCCTGATCATTCTTTTTTACTTTAAAATGAAAAAAGAATAAAAATTATGAGACAGAATTTCAAAACAAAATAATAGGAGATTAATAATGATTAATATGTATTGTTATCTTCACAATAGTTGCTCAGATTACAAGATATAGGTATAAAAAAGATCAGTGAAAGAACAGGCTGTTCTTTTTGATGAACTAATTGAGATTAGTAGTATAATTATGTATCTTGTGTATATATAATAGATATTTATATGTATAAATTATAAATATATAATAGTATATATTCACAACCATATCTTTATAATTCTTTACTCATTATATATATATATATTTATAAAAATATATTGGTAATTATATATTAATATAATGCATAATATATGATATATTATCTATTGTGATATATATTATAAATGATATATTATAGATGTATTATATATTATAGACATAAAATATAGATATATAATATATTAAAGATATACATTATCTGTTATCTACAATATATTATATATTATCTATAATATATGTTATATTATATATTGTGCATATATAACATATTAGTATATAATACATACTACAAATATAATATATAATATGTATTACATATTTTTTATTTTAAACAAAAAAGCACAGAAAAATAGAAGAGGAATGAAGTAAACAAACAAACAAAAAAGCCAAATGGAGCTGGGGATTTAGTGCAGTGGCATCAGCACCTGTCTTGCAAGCATATAGTCATGAGTTCGATCCCCAGTACAAAAAAAATCAATAAAAGACTAATGATAACAAAAAATGAATAATAGTGATACAGTGATACAGTGAAATAATACATTATTTCAAAATAAGATATAGGAATTTAACAATGGCTGTTATTGTTATTGATTGGTTATTATTGATCACTGTGAGTTTGAGGCCAGCCTGAATTACACAAGTGAGTTCAAGACTAGCCAGCACTATACAGTGAGACCCTGTCTCATATTGGCTGGAAGATCTTTTCTATGAAAGTGCCTGGGATCTTTACCCAAGGGGTTGTTATACTGTATATTGTTACCTTCAAAGTAGTTGTTTAGGTTATCAAATAAAGTCATGCAAAATTGATCAAACAATATGGTTTCGCTTTGAGCAGATTCCCTTTCACTATATCTATTGTAACTTTTGGATCTTATTTACTTTCAGTTTCTTATACTAAGGAGACAATATAGTGTTTACACATGTGAGTCTGATTTATTTCATTTCTTTTTTGTCCATTCTTCAGTTGATGAGCATTTGGGTTGTTTCCAAGATCTGGCCATTACAAATTATGCTGCTATAAATATGGGTGGATATAATGTTTTCAATTCTTCTGGGAAAATATCCAGAAGGGGCGTAACTGGTTGTATTAAATCTCTAATCCTAATTATTAGAGGAATCTCCATACTGATTTCCATAGTGGTCTTACTGGTCTATACTCCCAGAAAAAATGTAGAAGTGTTCCTCTTTCCCCACAACCCTTCCAGCACTTATTATTCATTGATACCTTGATATTAGCCATTCATTCTGGAGTAAGATGTGAACTCAGTGTTGTTTTAATTTGCATTTCTTGAATAACGAGTGCTGTTGAACATTTTTTCATATATTTATTTACCATTTGTATTTCTTCATGCGAGAAATGTGTATCCATCTCAGATGCCCAGTTTGGAGAGAGTCTTTAAATTTGGGGGCCCTGGTTTTTTCAATTAATTATATGTTCACTGTATGTTTGAGGAACAGTTGACAAAAATATTTTCCCAATCCATGGGTTTTCTTTTAGCTCTGTTGGTGATTTTTTTAAGATGTGCAAAAACTTTTTAATAAGATGAGATCCCAGTTGCTGATTATGAGAAGTATTTCCTATGCACTTTGATTTCTATTCATGAACTCTCTGTCTACCCTATGTCCTCAAGATTTCTACCTACTTTGTCTTCCATTCATTTTGACTTTAATTTAATGCATGGAGAAAGGAATGGGTATACTTTAAGTTTTCAAGATGTGGAGAGCCAGTTTTTCCAACACCACTTGTTAAAGAGCCTGTCTTCTTCCAGTGAATTTATTTGACCCCTTTGTCAACAGTAAGGTGGCTGAGTGTGTTTGTAGTTGTGTCTGTATCTTCTATTCTGTTCCATTGATCTTCAGGTCTTTTTATTTACCAGTACCATGATAATTTTATCACAGTGGCTCTATAGTATAATTTCAAGTCAGGGATTGTGATGCCTCCTGCTTTGCCTTTGTTGTCCAGAATTGCCTTTTGTATTCTAGGTTTCTTCTGGTTCCAGATGAATTTTTGGTATGTTTTTTCTAGATCCATGAGATATACTAATGTTATTTTGATCAGGATTGTGTTAAATATGCATAACAGTTTTGGGAGTATGGCTATTTTAACTATGTTGGTTCTTCTTATCCAGGAACGAGAAATATCTTTCCAGAGCTGCACTGTGGAGGCCAGTGACCTTCTTTCAGCCCGGGGAGCTTCACCACTCGAGGAGGTGGGTGCCTGCACACCATCCGAGCCCTAAGAGAGTCTAAGATCCTTGCTCCAAGTGGTTGGGGACCCACCTGGCTTGCAGCCACACTAGACTGAGTTTCGGGCCTGCCTGGACATGCCTGGTGGCCTTTTTTCGATCTGGGGAGCATCATTGCTGGAGGGGAGCCTGTCTGAGCCACGCCCAGTAACCTTCCTTTAATCTGGGGCCCTTGCTGCCCAAGGAGAGAGCTACACTGCCAGAGGAGTCCCAGGAGCCCAGGACCCAGGAGACAATTTCCAACACGCTCAGGGGAAGCTTTGGAACATCATTTGAAACACGGAAATATAGGAAAATGATAAAACGAAAGACCAAAATGCAAACTCAAACATCCAGCCCATCCCAAGAAAGCCTAGGAGCCATGTACATAGAAGTAAATAAATGCCATACACTTTAAATATCTGAAATAATAGTAACTGAAATAAAGAAGCAATTCCAGGAAGCTTTTAAGGAATTCAAACTAGAAATGATCTCCCAGGTAAAAGAAATTATAAAAATAATGAAAGACACGCTGAACACATCTAAAGAAGACACAGTTAAAAATTTAGAGGAACAAAACAAAAAGATAGAATCCCTGGATGAACAATCTAAGAAAAAAACAGAATACATAAAGCAGATGCAAAAAGATATACAGAAAATCAAAAATTCCATTGAAAGTTGTCAAAACCGCCTCAACAGAAGTAAAGATAGAAATTCAGATCTCAATCACAAGATTGCAGCTAGTGAACGGGAAAGGAAAGATCTTTTAAAAATAACAAGGAACTAGGAAATAACAATTCAACAGCTGCAAGATGACTCAAAGAAAAATGATATAAGATTGATAGGGATGAATGAAAAAGAAGGAGACGACACAAATGATGTCAACAGACTATTTACAAAAGTAATAGCTGAAAATTTCCCAAACATGAGAATGGAAACTGACATTAGGATTAGTGAAGCATATAGAACTCCAAATAGCCATAACCAAAATAAAACTACATGTAGACATATATAAAAATCACCATCACAGAAGTCCAACATAAAAGAAATATCTTTTCATTTTCTGAAATCCACTTCAATTCTTTTTAGAGCACTGTAATTTTCAATGCATAAATCTTTTACTACATTTGTTAGATTGATCCCTAAGTATCTCATTTTTGTTTGATGTTATTATGAAGGGTGTGGTTTCCCTAATTTCTCTCTCAGATTACACACATTATAGATAACAATATTATAGATAAATACATTATGGATATCTATTATATACATTTTTATATATTATGTAACATATACTAGTATAGAAATATATTATACATAATAAATTATAAGTATATATTATATAAAAGTCACAATAAAATTATTATAGTAATAGATATTTATATACATAATTTATTTCTTTTTTTCCTTTCCCCTATCCCAGGTTTTCTTTATTTTGAACAGTTTCTTCCCATTTCACTTTCACAATATCTTTTGTACACTTCAGTTGTTATTTACTCATTCAGTTCTTTACATTACAGAGATGATACAATATTTACATATGCAAACTGATTTATTTCACTTATAAATATGGAATCAAGTTGCATCCATTTACCTATAAAAGTCTCCAGTTTACCCTTCTTTAAGGCTGAGTGGTACTTCATTATATTAAAGGCCAAATCATTTTTGTTCATTCCTTAGTTACTGGGCATTTGGATTGTTTTTAAAATTTAGCCATTACAAATTGTGCTGCTATAAACATGGGTGCATATATAGCACTGTGGTGTGGTATTTTCAGTTCTTCTAGGAACATACTCAGAAGGGAAATAGCTGGGTTAAATTTGACCTCTAATCCTAGTTTTTTGAGAAATCTTCACACTGATTTCCACAGTGATTGCACCATTCTACATTCCCATCAACAATGGAGAAGAGTTCTTTTTTCCCCATAGCTCCTCCAGCATTTGTTATTGGTTGATTTCTTGCTTATAGCCATTCTTTCTTGAGTGCTATGTAAACTCAGTGTTGTTTTAATTTGCATTTCTCAAATGACCAATTATGCTGAACATTTTTCCTTATATTTCTTTACCATGTGTATTTCTTAATCTGAGAAGTGCATGTTCATCTTAGATGCCCATTTTTTTTAATTGGGTCTTTGAATTTAGGGGCCTGATTTTTTCAATACTTTGTATGTTATATATAGAAATTCTTTATTTGAGGCACAGTTGGCTAAAATTTTTTTCCCAATCTGTATTTTCTTTTTCATTGTGTTGATAATATCTTTTGATGAGCAAATTTTTTTAATAATATGAGATCCCATATGGTGATTCTTTGAAGTACTCTCTGTGCAGTTTGTGTTTTATTCATAAACTCTGCCTGCACCTATGTATTCAAGATTTCTACCTACCTTGTCTTCCAATATATTTAGAGTTTCTGTATTCACATTTATATCTTTTATCCATTTTGACTTTATTGCATGGTGATAAACATGTCTAGTTTTAGTCTTTAGCATATAAAGAGTCAGTTTTTCCAGCATCATTTATTAAAGAGATTCTCTTTCTTCCAGTGAACATGTTTGACCCCTTTTCAAAGATAAGGTCATTAAGTGTGTTTGTTTGTAGTTGTGTCTGCGTCTTTTTTTTTTAATTTAAGGAGAAAAAGGAAAAAAAACAGAAAAAGGGTACAAGTAATACAAAATTTAAAAAAATAAACAGTAAGAAATCACTAGTTAATAGATTACATGTTCTCATTTTACAAATAGTTGTTTAAGTTACAAAATTGAAGCATATAAAGTGGATCTTCAAACAGTGAGAGTGCAAACAGTTTTGTTCAGTGATCCAAAAAACACTCAGTAATATGGTTATCTATCTTATACACTTAAACATATATGCAGTTATAACCTTTAGAGCACTTTCTTTTCTTTTCTTTTGTACAATGATAATTACACATTTTGGGTTTTATTAATCCCACAGTTCTTATTACTTTTTTGAAGAGAGTAAAACCAAACGTGACATATCAGAACAGAGTCAGTCAAATCAAAAGGATGGACATAATAGATAATGTAAAAATAAAATATAAGTTGATCAACAGTGGTTACCATACTGCCTCTTGCTATTTTAAGAAGAATTGGCAGTTATAATAAAATTGAACTAAACAGTAAAGAATAAAGCCAAAGCACTGGAGACATTACAGAATTTTAAAAGAAAATAATAGTCAACCGGAATGGGCGTCATAATGATTCTTATTGTCTTCACAGTTATGCCTATACTTTCGAACTTGGTACTATAAAGCAAAGCAGAATAGAGGAAAATCAGTCAAGACAAGATGGTGAGGGCAATACATGATTTCAAATCAAGTTAATAGGAAATCAAAGTAGGTTACTATAATGTATCCTGCTATTTTTTATTTATTTTTCCCTTAATTAAAAAAAGAAAAAAGTAAATAATTCAAAAAAGGGGGGGTTGAGATAAAAGAGGGCATAACAACAGAACAGCACAGGTCAAAACATAACCATTTAAGCAAAATAGTGTTTCATCACAAGATATCTTGACATATAAAGTTACCATAGTGTCTCTTTCCTTGAAATCTTTGAGTATAACTTCTTATACTGTAGTACCAAATGTATCAAGGTGTCTGCATCTTTTAATCTGTTCCACTAATCCTCAGGTATGTTTTATGTTTTTGTTTGGTGTGGGGTTTTTTCCAGTACCATGCTGATTTTATTATAGTAGCTTTGTAGTGTAATTTCAATTCTGGGTTGTATTATCTCCTGCCTTGCCTTTGTTACCCAGGATTGCCTTTGCTATTCTAGGTCTTTTCTGCTTCCAAATAAATTTTAGAAATGTTTTCTCTAGTTCTGTGAGATATGTTAATGGTATTTTGGCCAGGATTGTATTAAATCTGTATAACAGTTTTGGGAGTATGACCATTTTCACTATGTTGGTTCTTATCCATGAACAATGCATAGCTTTCCATTTTCTGATGTCTTCTTCAAGCTCCTTTTTCAGAAAACTGTAATTTTCAACATACAGTTCTTCTGCATCCTTTGATAGATTCCTTCCTAAGTATTTTATTTTTTGAATGCTATTATGAAAGGTGTGGTTTCCCTTATATTTCTCTCTCTCTGTGAGTTTGTTGTTTGTGTACATGAATGCTATTGATTTTTGAGTATTGAATTTGTGTCCTGATAAATTTTCTTGTTAAGTCCAGTAATATTTTCATAGAGTTTTTTGGAGTTGTTTAGGTAGAGTATCAGAACTTCTTCTTTTCCTATCCTTAGTTCTTTTATTTTTTCTTTTATCTTATTGCTCTGACTAACATTACCAGAACTATACTGAATAGGAGCATTGATAGTGAACATTATTTTCTTGTTCCTGAGTTTAGAGAAAAGCTTTCAGTTTTTGTCTATTTAGTATAAGGATGGCTGTTGGTTTGTCATAGTTAGCTTTTATCAGATTGAGGTACAGATCCTCTATTTTTATTTTCTCTAGGGTTTTTATCATGAATGAGTGTTGGACTTTATCAAAAGTTTTTCTTATCTATTGAGATGATCATATGATTTTTGTCTTTGCTTCTGTTGATAGAGTGTATTACATTTATTGATTTGTGCATGTTGAAACATTCCTATAATTATATCTGGGATCAACCCCACTTGGTAATGCTATATAGTCTTCTTAATGATTTGCTACATTCTGTTTGCTAGTATTTTATCAAGAATTTTTTTCATTTATGTTCATTAGGGAGTTTGGTTAGAGTTTTCTTTTTTGGCTGCATGTATATTTATGGTTGTTATCTCTTCCTCTTTAATTGTTCCCATAAAAAGTATATAGTAACTGTTGTAGTCAGGGGCCGTACACAGAGAACAATTACAATCAAGACATGGAGTTTATAATATTGTTTTATGATGGTCACCTAGAGTTAACACAAGAAATCTTTCCTTTCATGGTCACTAAACTTGATCTTGTCTTTAATGTCTGAAAGTCTATATTCAGTTTCATTCAAGTGGTTTTCTACTTTCAATGGAATTTTTAATTTCCTGGATATGTCTTTGAATCTGTTTCATGCATTCAATTTCTTTCCTATATTGCTCATTTGAGGTTCTATCATTTTTCTATGTTCCTGTATTATTTTTCAATCTAAGTCTCTTCCAGCTATGCTGAGCAAGTCCATTAGTTTCTTTACCTGAGAGATTATTTCTTATAATTTCATCTATAGCCTCATGGACTTGTTTCTTTACTTCACTTGTTATCTTTCCAGAAATGTCAAGTGTGTGTCTTCCAAACTCTTGTATGTTGATATCTCCTGTACTTGCTCTGGATAGACTAGAGATCTGAGACTGATTTTACTTTTTTGTCTTTTCATTTTCACCCCTTGGTTCATATATTGGTCTTTTCAATCTCACTAGCCTCACGAATCTGTCTTGTGCATCTTATTCAGAGTTCCCTTGTGTGGCTGGTGTTTACCCAGTCATCAAGTTCCACAGGGTAGAGAAGGGCCAGTCACCTGAATTCCTCCTGGGGAGCCAGCTGAGTGAGTCCTAGATTCTTCTTGGGCTAATTAGTCTAGAAATATTGATGTGAACCAATGTTTGGCTCATGTTGTTACTACTGCTTCAGACTTCCAGACCATCAGGCCCATCTGCCTATGGTGTGCACCTAAGCCAGGGCCCTATTGTGTCACTGGGGGTCTTGCAGGCCTGCCAAGGTCCTTGGGGTGGAGGGAAGTCCCACTCATGTTCCTGCAGGCCCACCCAGGATGCTCTAGGTTGGGGAAGGACTCACTGGCACTCTTGCAGGCACACCAAGGTCCTCCAGGTGGAGGAAGGGCTCACCTATACTCTTGCTGGCCTATGCAGTCCTCTGGGCGGGGGAGGGCTCACCAGTGCTCCCTAATCATTTTCTTGTTTCAATGGAGTGTTTGCGACTGTGATCTACTACTTCACACATAACTTATTATGGTAGAATAGTGTCATTTTTCCAGTTGTTTAAGGTGTAGAAAATTTACCTTTAACTACATGCTCAGATTCGAGGTCTATCCAAAAAGGTTCAACAGATAGAAAATACACTTATTCTACTCAAAAATATCCATAAGGATAAGTGTGCTTGACCACAGCTATAGGTCATTAATTAGCCTGATAAGATACTTTGGGTCTTATTCATGCTTGTTGAGTAGAGAAAAAAAGGATCAGCGTGGTTTTGCTGGTGAGTGACTTAATTAATATCTCAGGTATATTAAATCCTTCCTGTGTGTCTTGTGAATATTTAATGTGTATTTGGTGCTTCTTTTCTTTCCTAATTTTGCTTAATAGTCATATGGTCTGTTTAGTTAATTTATGTCTATCCTAAGATATTTCACAAACTACTTGCTTCTATAGTTTCATATATTCTTTTTCCTTATTTTCTAGAATAGAATTGAGTACTTGTAAATCATATAGCAAAGATATATTATATCAAAAAACCACAAGTAAGGATGAAACATCTCTAAATGTACTCATTGGAAACATCCCAGCACGTACTTTTTGAAAAAAAGCAAAGTAAAGAGACCTGTACATGGCATGTCACCATTCATGTAACAGAAAAGTATTTGTGTATTTGTACTCAATAGTGTTTTTCTGGAACAGTATACCAGCAACTAGTAATAGGAACTTCATAAGTTTTGTAACATGAATATAAACCTACTACAAAAGCAATTGTTTTAAAATTTTAGTTGTAAAACACCAAATCATTTTTCTTTTTCTCTATATAGGTATCACAATGGCAGAACAGCCACACCTTCCAGAAAATATAGATGACTGGACAAAAGAAGATGTAAACAGATGGTTAGAGAGTCATAAGATTGACCAAAAACACAGGGAAATTTTAATTGCACAAGATGTGAGTGGAGCAACCTTGAAGTGGCTGAATAAAAGCGATCTTGTTGATATGGGCATACCACATGGACCAGCTATCCAAATAGTGGGATTATTCAATGAATTGCAGAAAACATCTTCTGAAGATCCTGTTCAGACACCCAAGGCTAAGAAAAGCAGTACAAATACTCCTGGAAAGCAACATTTAATGCAAAAGGAAGGTAGAGAGACTTCAAAGCAAAGACAAAGTGACAAAGAGATCTCACATAAGGCAAAAGAGTCTAAATCACCAGACAGTGAGCTCATGGAAAATCAACCAGATGACGTGAAACAACCAACATGTCTTCCATATCCTTTTAATACATTCAGCAATCCATATCGTTATAAATTACATTTTATCTTGCAACCTGAAACAGGACCACAGAATCTTATTGATCCAATACATGAGTTCAAAGCACTGACAGATACAGCAACAGCTACAGAGAAGGATATCAAGATGAAATTTAGCAATGAGACTTTCCGTTTTGCTTCAGCTTGTATGAATTCACGTACTAATGGCACTATTCATTTTGGAGTTAAAGATAAACCCCATGGAAAAATTGTTGGCATGAAAGTCACCAGTGTCACCAAAGAAGCTCTGATTGAACACTTCAATTCAATGATCCCTCAGTATTTTGAAGCACATCAGGTCCAACAAGCAAAGAAATGCATCCGAGAGCCAAGGTTTGTAGAAGTGTTGCTGCCAAATAGTACTGTATCTGATAGATTTGTTGTTGAGGTGGATGTTGTTCCACAATACTCTGAATGTAAACATGACTATTTCCGGATCACAATGCAAAACTACAACCATGAAACATGGCAACCAAGTTCAAAATATTCAGTCTTTATACGAGATGGGCCCAATACTAAGAACATCATAAAAAATAAAGTTGATTTTGAAGCTTTCCAATTAGATTTGAAATCAGTAGCAACATCTAGGAAAGAAGCAGAAGAAAAATGCAAACTAAAAACAAATAAAAACAACAGTGAGGGATCAAAGCTGGTTACCCTGTTGACAGGAAATCAAGATTTATTAGATAATTCATACTACGATTGGTACATTCTTGTAACAAACAAATGCCATCCAGATCAAATAATACATTTAGATTTCCTAAAAGAAATTAAATGGTTTGCTATATTAGAGTTTGATCCTGAATCTAAGACAAAAGGAGTTCTCAAAGCTTTCAAAGAAAGCCGAGCAGCAAACCTACACTCTCCAAGTCAATTTGTAGAAGAGAAAACCACAACAGAGGAGAAAATTTCTAGTTTGAATCTTTACCAGAAACCCAGCTGGATTTTCTGCAATGGCAGGTCAGACCTTGACAGTGAAAAATATGAACCCGTAGATCCAGTTTCCTGGCAAAAAGAAAGAGCTTCTGAAGTCAGGAAACTGATTTCATTTCTTACACGTGAAGACATAATGCCAAGAGGGAAGTTTTTGGTGGTGTTTTTACTACTCTCCTCTGTGGATGACCCAAAGGACCCCCTCATTGAGACTTTCTGTACATTCTACCAAGATCTCAGTGGAATGGAAAATATATTGTGTATTTGTGTGCAACCAAACATATGCCAGGGGTGGAAAGACCTACTAGAAGCAAGATTAACAAATGAGCAAGATGAACTATCAGACAAGTGTATTTCTGCTTTAAATCTTGAACAGATAAATGGCACTATTCTTAAACTAAAGTCTATAACTCAATCTTCAGAGAGACTTTTGCCATCTATTTGTTCATCTACTGTCCTTCTGAAAAAGGAAGAAGATATGACTGCTCTGGAAATTCTCTGTGTAAATGAATGTGAAGGTACACTATTACACAAAGACAAAACTAAATTACAGGAATTCAAGACATCAAAAGAGGAAGACTTTTATCGAGGAGGCAAAGTATCATGGTGGAACTTCTATTTTTCTGAATACTACTCATCAAGTTTCGTCAAAAGAGACAAATATGAAAAACTTAAAGAAATGATTCAAAACTATGCAGATCCTTCTAAACTCATGTGTGTCAAAATTATTCATTTGTACCATCATCCAGGTTGTGGAGGGACTACACTGGCCATGCATATTCTCTGGGAACTAAGGAAGAAATTCAGATGTGCTGTACTGAAAAACAAGACGGTGGATTTTTCTGAAATCGGAGAACAGGTGGTCAGCTTAATCACCTATGGGGCAACAAATCATCAGGAATACTTACCTGTACTGCTCCTTGTTGATGATTTTGAAGAACAAGATAATGTCTACCTTCTGCAGGCTGCTATTCAGACAGCAGTAGCTCAAAAATATATTCGATATGAAAAACCTTTAGTGATCATCCTAAATTGTGCAAGATCACAGAATCCTGAAAAAAGTGCAAAGATACCAGATAGTATTGCTCTAAGACAAAAATTGTCTCGCAAAGAGAAGGAGGCTTTTGAGCTTAAATTGAAAGAAATTAAAGAGCACCATAAAAACTTTGAAGATTTTTATTCCTTTATGATCATGAAAACAAATTTTAATAAAGAGTACATTAAAAAGGTGGTCAGGAATATTCTGAAAGGGCAGAATAAGTCTACCAAGGAAGCAAAGCTCTTTTCTTTTCTTGCTCTTCTTAATTCATATGTGTCTGGTACCACTATTTCACTATCACAATGTGAGAAGTACTTAGGAATTGCAAACAAGAAAGCCTTCTGGGGTACAGAAAAGCTTGAAGATAAGATGGGCACCTACTCTACAATTCTAATACAAACAAAAGTGGAGGAATGTGGAACCTACTGTGGAGTGCGCATCATTCACCCTTTGATTGCAATTCTCTCCCTGGAAGAATTGAAGAAAAGCTATGACTTGGATAAAAGTCAAATTATGCTGGATATGCTAACAGAAAATTTGTTCTATGATACTGGCTTAGGAAGAAGCAAATTTTTCCAAGATATGCAAACACTACTGCTCACAAGAGAGCGGAGTGAACAGGAAGGTGAAACAGGAACTTGGTTTTCCCCGTTCATTGAAGCATTACATAAAGATGAAGGGAATGAGGCAGTTAAACAGGTGTTGTGCCAAGGTATCGAAAGGTTCAAACCAAATGCATTCATTTGCCAAGTTTTGGCAAGACATTACTACATTAGAGAGAAAGACTTTAACAATGCTCTTTTATGGGCAAAAGAAGCAAAAAAGATAGAACCTAATAACTCTTATATCTCAGACACACTGGGTCAAGTATATAAAAGTAAAATAAGATGGTGGATAGAAGATACTGAAAGAAACAGAGACATTTCAGTTGATGACTTAAGTACTCTTTTGGATTTGGCAGAGCATGCCTCAAATGCATTCAAAGAATCTCAACGGCAAAGTGAAGATAGAGAATATGAAGGTAAGGAAAGGCTGGGCCAGAAGTCAAAAAGAAGGTATGATACTTACAACATATCTGGCTACCATGGCGAGATAGAAGTGGGGCTATATGCAATCCAGATTCTCCAGCTGATTCCATTTTTTGACAAGAAAAATGAACTATCTAGAAGAGATATGATCAATTTTATATCCGGAAATAGTGATATTCCAGGGGATCTAAATGAATTTAAATTGGCTCTCAAAAATTTTATTCCTTATCTTACTACTTTGAAATCTTCTTTGAAAGATGCCTTTGACTTTTTTGATGATTATTTTGTCCTTCTAAAACCCAGGAACAACATTAAGCAACATGAAGAGGCCAAAACACGAAGAAAGGTTGTTGTATATTTTAAGAAATATATAGATATATTTGGTCCTTCAGGAGAATCACTAAACAGAGATCTTGAATTAAAACTCAGTCTGCCACTTCAAGTAGAAAGGAATCAGAGAAGCCTCGAAGCTTTAAAAGCAGACAAATTTTCTGGGCTTTTAGAATATCTCATCAAAACTCAAGATGCGGTAAGCAGCATGGAATACATAGTGAATACCTACATTTTTCTCTTTGATCAATGCATTGTTAGGATGCACCTAAAGGAAAAGCAAAATTTCATCTTGGCCAATATCATTCTGTCGTGTATTAAGCCTGCTTCCAAATTAGTGAAGCCAATTAAAAAACTAAAAGAACATCTTCGAGACATCTTACAACAAGTAGGACCAACCCACAGATTTTCAGAACCTTATTTCTTAGCTTCACTCTTATTCTGGCCAGAAAACCAGCAACTAGATCAAGATTCTAAAGAAATGGAAAAATATGTTCAATCTTTGGAAAAGTCTTTCAAGGGGCAATATAAACACATGCATCGTACAAAGCAACCAATAGCATATTTCTTTCTTGGAAAGGGTACCAATATGAACAGACTTGTCCACAAAGGAAAAATTGATGAATGCTTTGGAGAGATGTCTGATATTAATTTCTTGTGGCAAAGTGGAAAAGTGTGGGAAGAAAAAAAAGTCCAAGATCTTTTGCTTCGTTTACAGGGACGAGCTGAAAATAATGAAAAATTATTCATAGAATACGGAATCAATGAAAAAATCACAATACCCATCACACCTGCTTTCTTTGGTCAACTTAGAAGTGGAAGAAGCATAGAAAAAGTGTCTTTTTATTTGGGATTTTCCATTGGAGGCCCTCTTGCTTATGACATTCAAATTTTGTAAGAGCCTGGTCTTCTTCCTCCAGCGATATAGTTTCAGTACTGCCTACTTTTTGTTTTTTAGATCCAAGATCCACACTTTTTTAAAATGGAAATTTTACAGAAAAGTCCTGAATTTTCAACCCTGTATAAATGACATTAAATTTTCTCTACATTATGAGTCCCACATAGGTTATGATAGAGAAGGAAGGGAGGAAAGATGTGTGACAAGAGCAAATCTCTTCCTTAGTCTGGATAATACCATCAAGGATAAAACAAGTAGCTATGAACGGAATTAGGAGAGACAAATGAATAAGTCAGTTACACAATTAGGACATTTCTCCTAATTACCCTGCTGTAACAGTTAGACCTGATCTGTCAACTTCATTGGATGGAGAAAAGTTCTCAGATGTGTAGAGCACATTCCTGAGTGTCCAGAGATGGGGATGGGGGGTCACAGAGGGAGAGCCTTGAATACCAGAGATGGTCCCTCCCTGATGCTCTCTAGCATTGTTCCCCACCTCTGCTCCCTGACCACTATAAACTAAGCTGTTTTGCTCTGCCACACACTCTACTCTGATATTCCAGCTTTGGAGGGGGCCAGCTAGCTATAGACTGAATGTTCTAAATCTAAGTTAAAACTTTGCTCCTTTAAGTTGTATCAGACACTACGTTCAGCAATAGGAAAGCTGACAAACACATCTCCCAAGGAATGGATTGAGGACAGTTAACTACTTTCTTATCAAATGTGAAATTCTTTCAGAATAGGAAAACATAATGTTTGTTCTAAGGCATTAGACTATCTCAGAAAACCTTTTTTACAGAAAACAAAATCTCACACTGAAAGTCTACATTTATTCTGACCAAGTAGATTATAATATATCCTGTGCTTGACACTCAAGGATCTTCCCAAATAGAGAAGCAACAAATTTTCTAAAGATTACACCCACAGAAGCCAGCTGACACTACCAATATAGGCTGAGAATTAGATTTCCTCTTCATGCAGTACGAGGCAGTCCAGCAAGTGTGAAATTTATCTAAAGTAGTGAATTTATAACCATCCCCCCTCCAAGAAAACAGAACAATTCACCCAGACTCCGAGGGCTAATAAACAGAACGGGACCTGAGAAAAGACTAATAAGGATCCAAACACACTGGCAGAGACAGAACTTGTTTAGTTTACTGTGTCCTTGCATAGAAAGGTTCCTACAAAAAAGGATGAACATTTCCATCGTACCTCTTTCATGAAGTTGTTGCTTCCTTTCATGAGGACTCCTAAGGAGCTCTTGACTCTACCACAAGGGTGATTTCATTTCAGCATATGAATCTAGAGAGGACATATTTGGTACCAGGGATCAAGCTCATGAGTTGTGCTTAGCAGGCAAGTGCTTGGGCCACTGAGCTAACTCCCTGGCCTAGAAAGGACATATTTAGATCATAATGAAAATGAGATTTAAAACTTCATTGTTTCTCTTTCATAAGCCAGAAGTTATTGTGTAGTCTGCCTACCAATTCTGATACAGCCTTGGGTAAGAAGACATCAGAATTTTTTTAAACTATCATCTTAAAAACCACTGATTAGGTTTCTGTAATGCAGAAAAATTTACCAACTCAATAATCAAAAGCAAAATGTCTATCAATCCTCCTAAAACAAACGATAACCTGAACAAAGGATCTTTGGAAACTATAGTATATCAAACTCCTTTTGCCTATTTGGGAAATGCATTTGTAAAAAGAAAAAATATATAATAGATATGGCATATATAATAGGTGCAAAATAAGAAAATGTTCAAATGAGGAGGGAACAAGAGAAGGGAGGGAGAAGGAAACAAAGGAAAAGTGAAAAATGAGAAAAGAAGGAAAAATAGAAACAATTTTTGTAAATGGGTAGGGGAAGGGGACTAAGAAGAGGGGAGGGGAATGGGGGAAAAAAGAATCAAGTTGTATCATGTACAGGTACAAATTCTCTGTGATGAATGTGATCACTAGGTATATCTAAAATGTACCAATAAAATCTGATTAAAAAACAAAAAAGCTCTCAGAAACTAATAGCAAAGATATGATAATTTATTTGAGTGAAATAAATTATTTGTGTAAAGACTAGACTATATTATTTCCTAATCTTTTAACCTTTGTTCCTCCAAAGTTTTCTCTGCCACACAACTTAGAATGTGTTATAAAAGTTCATAGGCACTGAAATATATATAGGTTTTTCATCTCTATTATCAAGAAGCCTATCTCCAATTAAAATATGTATTCTTTTTTATAGTTTAAGGGTTCAATATGTATGTACACGTCATAACATAGCCAAATTTCAGTTTTTACTATAGCACATGTATCCTGACAGCCCTATGTTACCTCCAAAAACACCAACCAAGTCTAAAGTACCTTTCATTCCCTTAGTAGAAAGAGAATTTTTCCCAAGAGATCCAGAAACTCTCCCTTAAGTGAGATGTTACCAGCATCTCTTCCTAATAGCTGTAAGTATAAGTATGCTTGTGATTCACTTAGAATGAGAATCAAAAATTAAAGTCTTGATAAGAAACAGGTAACACATTAAAAGTGAGTCATTTGGGCTGAGGATGTATCTCAGCTATAGAGTGTTTGTATAACATGCACAAACTCCTGGATTCAATTTCCAGACCCACAAAATAATTTAAAATGAAAAGAAATCATTTGGGGAGAGTTTAATAAAGAAATTATTTGTAAAAGCATAGGTATGAAAAAAACAAATAGGTATGAGATATAGAAATATCAAGGGATAATTCAATACCCTGGAACTAGTTAATAATATCAGAAAACCCTATCGCTACACATAAAGGAGCAAGAGAAAAGCACTTTTAACAGAAGGAGGAGAGAACTGCCTGGAAAAAGCTGCCTCATAGGAGTTACAATCTTCACCTGCAGAAAGCACACAGCCTCGGGTGTTTTGCAAGAAAAAAGTGCTGGAAGAACAAATAATAACCTCATTCTTCTCCCACTAATCTCCTACTTGTGTTTTTCATTGACCCAAATTCAACCAGAAGCCAGAGGGCAAAGGAAGTAGAGTGCATATGGCACAGCAGGGTACAAAAAAGAGAGACATCCAGGGAAAAACAAACAAGATACTCAGTGCCATTTCCCTGAAATTCTAACTCTTACAACCACAGACAACACCATGTAAGTCTGAAACATAAATGGCATTGACACTTGAACTTAAAAAGTAGGTTCTTTCACTACCCCCAAAGTGTTAACAATGACAGCATAACAGAGTTGTATCTTCACCCCTTGGTCTAATTTCCATTTTAGTAAAGCAATTGAAGCATCCTAAAATGGAACTAGTTAATGGAAGTATCCTTTAGAACTAATTGAGTTTTGTTGTTTTTAGCCAACAAGTCCCACAGCTACTACCTGCTTCCAATTTGTAGAAGCTTGGTATATGTTTCAGAAGAATTTTAAGTAGCAGAAAGGGGTTTATTTTCAGCAGTCTTGTCTTGGTTACTTTTTCCTCATTGCTGAGGAAACGAAGGAAGGAAAAGTTTATTTAGCTTAAAGTTTTCGGAAATTTCAATCCATATTCAGCTGGCTCCAAGGCAATGTAGCATGGCTAAGGCACACAGCAGCTGCAAGCGACAAGCAAAAAGGGCAAAAAGAGAAAAGCACACCTCCTGCATTCCCCTTATACTGTATGCTGGCCACCCACCCCTGGGTGAGTGCAGCACTCACAGTACGAATTCCAGCGCTAGACAATGAACCAATCACAAGCACTTGGCTCAGCTGCCTTCGAAAGGCCTGCCCTCCCCCCATGATCACATGAGGTTTTGGAGGAACATTTAAATATAAATCATAACATTTCACTCTTGGTCCCCCAAAGACTCAGGCACATCCTTCATGCAAAAGGCATTTAGTCCATCTTCAAGAATTGCCAAAGTCCTAACAGCAGCATTGCTGAAAGGCCCAAACCCAAAGTCTTCTCTGAGATTTAAGGCAAACTCTTAGGTGTGGTCCTCTGTACAAATGAAAATATAGTTAAACACTTCCAACATTCAGTAGCACAAGACAAAGATTTCCACTCCAAAAGGTATAAAGAGGGGAGACAAAGGATTGGGAGCAAAGCAAGTCCAAAATCTATCAGGGGCAAACATGAAGTCCTGTAATTCTATATGGAACATCTGAAGCAGTCTGTGGCAAATTGTGAGCTCCAAAAGGCTTGTGTGGCTCCACTCCCAAGCACTTCCGGTGGTTGTAGCCCCATGGCTTCTCTCTTGAGCTGGCTTTGCTCCTTCCTTGCAGGTTTCCTTAGACAATCTATGCTCCTGGCTTTTCCAAACTTCTGGGTTCTCTACTGCACCTTTGGCTTCACACTCACATTGGCACACACTGTCCTCTCAGAGACACACTACCTGGCCTCCCAGGCCTTCTGAAATCAGGATGGAAGCCTTTTAAACCTCAGAATTTTTGTATTCTGTATGTATCTAAAGCCAGTGCATGTGGATAATGCCAAGGTCTGCAACAAGATGGAGCAGTAGCCAGGCTTTCTTCTCTCTCAGCTGTAGGGTTCAGTGCCTGGATCTCTGAGCACTATGAACCTGATTGTGAGGAACAGATTCTCTATATGGCTTCCATTTTCAAAACAAAGTCTTTCACTTTTACAGTTTTGAGGCTGCAAAGGGTGGAGACTCACCACCACTTGCTGTGTTACCCCCAAGCCATCTTTTCTATTCTCCTGTTCCTTCTTAGAAATCAAGATCTTAGATCTATCTTTGCAAGCCAAAGTTTTACTACAGCTTTCCTTCTGACCAAACTCAACATTTTACATCACCATGCTTGGCTCTTTGCTTGTGATTTGCAACATAAATCTGGCTAAAAAACCCCAATAATAGCCATGCCACCACCTCAACATTTGATCCCTTGAAATTTCTTCTGCCAGATTAATTAATCCACCACCCTTAATCTCAGTCTCAGGCAAAGCCTCTGGGCATAGCAAAATGCAGACAAACTCTCTGCTAAGCCACAACACACATCATCTAGAGTTCAACAAACAATATAGGCCTTTATCCCAGAAGAAACCTCCAGAGCCTGGTCTTTACTAGGCTCTAACCAAAATCTCCCATACAGAAGAACCTGAGGCATTCCAGCTCTACTACTTCAGGTGCCATCTCTTAACCTTTCCAAACTCTTCCCATAAGCCCTCCCAAAGACTCTCGAACCATATGGTCAGGTTAGTCACAGTAATGACCCCACTCCACTGGTGCCAAATTTTCTCTCACTGCTAAGACAAAATACCCAACACCCAAAGTAAAGGAAGGAAAGGTTTATTTAGTTTACAGTTTATGGAGGCTTCAGTCCATACTCAGCTGATTCCAAGGCAGGGTGGAGTGGGTGAGGCACAATCATTCATGGCAGTCACAAGTGACAAGAGTGAAAAGGGTAAAAAGGGAAAATCACACCTCCTTCTCTCCTTTGTATTGAATGCCATCTACCCACCCCTGGGTAGGTACAGCACTCACATCACCAATCCCAGCACTAGACAACAAACCATTCACAAACACTGGACTCAGCACCTTCAAAAAGTCCACTCCCTATGATTGCATGAGGCTTTGAGGGGAGACTTCAATACAAATCATAACAAATCCTTACACCACATGAAAACTTTTCAGATATATATGAACATGGCATGCAAATTCAAGGTGAGAAGAGTTCTATCCAAAGTAGTTCAACTGCCTTCTGTTATACTGATATTATTATCATTATTATTATTGTTGTTGTTGTTGTTTATATTATTTCCTTGGGGGTGATATAATAATATTCTAAAGTTAAAATTTTATTTTCCATTTTCACAAAAGTTTTTAAGAATATCTATTAGTCCAAGTCCACCAAAAAAGCAGATACCAAGAAAGAAATTAATGTGCAAAGATGCCTAGCATGAGTGGGGCTCTGCTTTTGATCCCCAGCACTAAAAACAAAAAATGCAAAGATAGTGTTAGGGAGAAATTCTAGGAATGAAAATTGGGAAGCTAATAGTCATGACTATTTCTAACCTTTCTTCCTCTTTCACTTGGGCTAAGTCTATATATTTTGTCATTAACTGTTGATACATACTACATATTAGATATAGATATATGAAGAAGGGCATATAAATATAGATGGGGAGAGAGAAAGACAGGGAACAAGAGAGAGACTGGCATACTACTGATTCTGTTTCTCTGAAGAACACTGATAAAACATCAACTACTAAAGGAGTACTATGTCTCCCCAAGACCATCCTTTCTTAGTATCCTTGTTGTGATCAGCTTTTGGCCCAGAAGCTCATAAAATGTGTGACAATTTGTACAAGTTCTCAGGTGGATTTCAGAGCCTCACACTGGACCCACTGGTCAATTAAAGTTTCCACAACTAGAAGACTACAAAGTTCATTCTCATGGTTGGCGCAAACACAAAGCACAAATAAAACATTCTAAAGTCTTCAAAGTCCATTCCCATGGTTACTATAAACATGAAACTCAAAACATTCCAAGTGTAGGATAAAAATTGATCACATTTGATAAGCCAATTTGAATGTCTGTGTGTAAGTCTTTCTGAAAAAATAAAAAACAACTTACCATTAATCAAAAATCATGATACAGAAAAAGAACTATAATTACACTGAGGAAGAAAGAAGCTGATCTTCACATAGTTCAGATTTATTGTCCCATGTTAATGACTAGAAAGGGTAAAATAAATAAGAAAAATCAGCTATTATGGCTTGTTCCTGATGTCCCCCAAAGCCTCATCTGCTCAGGTAGGGCTTTTCAGAGCTGGCCAGATCTAGAATGTATGATACCGGGATTAAGTGTGGGTGGTACTAATCTATCCCGCTGATTGGAATTGGAGGTGGCTAAATGGATTTACTGAAAACAGAAGACCTGTCATGTGTGTGGGTGGCACCACCTAGAACTTTTGTGTTTTAATGACACAAAACAGAAAGACAGGCTCACTGCTGTGGCATACTGCTTTTTGCCTACCCTGCCTCAGACTGTTTCTCTACCCCATGCCAATCTACCATGTCATCATTCTTTGGCTATAGACTGAAACATCTACAAACCGTGATCTGGAATGAAGATTTCCCCATTTAACTTGTGCTT